AGCCGGGTGGCCGGTGGCGTTACAGTTTACGCAGTCCGGTGGATCTGCGCAATCTTTCGGCCTCGTGCACTCGGTTGTGCCGTGGTCACCGGTGCATTTGACGCACCTTGGGTGAGCGAAACAGTTATTGGCCGTGTGGCCAAAATGTTGACAGTTGTGGCACTGTGCCACAACACCTGATTTACGTGGGGGCTCGATGACTAAGTCACTGAGCCCACAGACCCTCTTAAGGTTGAAGATGGCCTTACCTTCCGGGGTAGGGTCAAGTTCATCCATTACCATGTCCATAGGGACACGGGTGCGAGGGTGTCTGAGCCGACGTACGGCGTGTACAGGGTTTCCCTGAGTGCGAATGTCGACCTTAGCCATATCGACATCCGACTCTTTCGGGACGCCCTTGATTACAACCCGAAGTTTACGCTCCTCGGGTAGTGAGTAGGTGTGGAAACCTACTTTAGCTTCGCGCAAGTACTTAGTTACGCGGCGGAAATCGTCCGTAGAATCGAGGTATACGCGGATACCCATATGTGTATTCTTGGACCGGGGGTCTCGTATGTTATGGCGTTCGAACCATGAACATATCTGATGCCACTTTGCCTTCTCTTGAATTATGATTGGCGGCGGTGGCTTGATTTTTCGCTCGGAGGCGAATGTCGGTTCCGACTGGGCGGGCGTCGCGGTGGTACGGTTTGACGGGGTGGCCTCGCATCGAGGTCGCTGTCGGTAGCGGGGCGTTTCTTGCCCTTTTTGTGCGATTTGACGACGGTGAAGCCGTCGGCGTTCGCGTTGTTAGCGGGGGTCGTTTCGACCTCCATGTCTGAGCCGCCGTTCGATTGTGAGTCGGGAACGACAGCGCGGAAGGGGGCCGAAATTGATTGCGCGGAAGGCGCGTTAGGATCGATCGCGGCGGCGGAGTCGACGCGACGGGCGTTTCGATTGTCACAGAGGGCGACACAATAACTGGTGCAGAGGGCACCGGAGATGGCGGCGAGGCGGCAGCCGGTGAAGCCGGACTGTCGCTAGAGAATTCGACGACAAGGCGCCGTTCCCTCGCGAAGCTTAAATATTTTGCCCATACTTCGGGGGATTCCTGCCGAAGGAACTCCTCTAAGAGGGAACCCATGACGACGCTTGTGCCTTTGGGGCTTGCGCCCCGCCGGCGTGTGGTTTCTAAATAGGCCTCCCCATCTTGCGGCAGGGAGGTGTGTGCCTAAAATTAACGTTTAATCGCCTGCGCTTTAGGTGCGCTAGGGTGAGTACCTAGCTGTCACCTAATGCAACAAGCACACAGATAAAATTACAATGCCGCCTCTGAGACGAGAAATGTGTGTAGATTCTACTTACGGACAGGAACCTGCCTACGAGCACAACACTACACTAACACTATCCGCTCGGAAGTCGGGCAAAGTTTCTTCTTTCTTCTATAATGTTTTTTCTTTCTTCTATAATTTTTCTTCTATCTTCTTGCTTGAGACTTCCCTAACCGTAGACCGCGAAACACGACAACGATGAGGAGAACAGTGCACACCAAGAAAGATAATAAATATATCAGCAACAACGGTTGCAAGATGGCTTCCGGGTCGGCTGGCATGGGCCCTCCGGCTCAGATTTACGTCCGTTCCGTGTGGAAGCACGAAGCGGAATCTCTTCAATTAATTGTCGTGATACGGCGGCATACGGGTATTACTAGCATACAAGTGGTCACCGATACGTAAAAAGTGATGGAGATAACTTATTCGGACCATTTTAGTAACGTCTTTTATTTATCGAACGATATAACGTGAACAGATTTACAGATAAGAAAAGATTTCTTTGCTGCCAATGTCTTTATTTTATGTGAGAAAGTGTCAGCTAGCTGGCGGTTCACCTGATGTTAAGTGATAATTGCCGCCCATTGATATTTAACTATAGTAAGGTTGCAAAAGCATTACCACTTTTAATAAAGTGGATCCCGTCCACCTACTCACTAGACGAAACGCGGAAGTATAACACTTCGATTTCCCGCTAGTATTCTGTGCGGTCTTGCTACTTCCTTGCATGGATTGCCAATTCGTGCAACAGCTAAGACTGTTGCGTAGAACTACGTGCATTTTTTTAAACTCTACGGATGGAAAGAAGTCTTCCAAATATTTTTCGTCTGATACCGGACTCGTGTTAGTATATTCTTATGAGTCTTATAACTTTTAAACGTAAAAATCTTTTATTTCTTTATCTTCTAGCGGATGTCGTCAGTTTGTTTAACTTCTTTCTTTACGAATTGTTCTTTGATATTTTCGCAATTCTTATGGGGCCGATAAGATAGTGAGATTCAGTCATCATTTAGCGAGGTATAACGCCTACATTTTTTGGGTTATAGTTCATCGTATACTACCTAGTTGCCAACGTGAACCGTTCGAAGTCGTGAATTTTACGCAGTCATAAATTTTTACATTCGATGTTTTATATTACACGTGGGCACGCGGGTATCAAACTTTTATCAAACAGAGACGGAAGGGTTGGAGGGAAACGTAATCCTTTTAACGGTGCAACTTTACGAGACAAGGGGGGTGAAATACGAACGCGTAAAAAACTTACGCTACTGACGTAGAAAAATGCTGAGGCATCGTTTCAGCTTTTAAAAAAGTGCCAGGCGCAGTTATCGAATTTATAGGTTTTGGTGTCAGGAGTTGTAACTTGGATTCCCATACATTTCCCAGTATTTTTAAGATCTGAAATTAATTTTTCCCTACCCAAGTGTTTAATCCATTTTTGCTTTAAATTCTCGTTCTGCAAATATATAAGGAAAATTATAAAGAATGTCTGAAAATAAATGTATTTATTTCAACAATGTGATTTTTGTTTAAACCTAACAGGATGGAGAAAGAAAAAAAAAGTTCTGAACTAATATTCTTAAGCTGGATTTTGTTAGGCAACGAGTCAAGTTCAAATTACGACAAAAATTCCAATTTAAAGTACAAAAGCTACATTTGTTGAACGTAAACTATTTCTAAACCTATTACTAACATAATTATCCTTCCTATCCAGCCTTAGGGATAAGAGACACAAAAAGCTTGTCTGTAATCCTTTAATGATTTACTTTTTTAGTTTTTCGTGAAAAAATAAATGACCAAGCCATATAAACTTGACTGCATCACTAATATATATATCTGAAAGCTTAGCTAACATATCCTGCCCCGTTTTTATAAGGTAGTGAAACATTAGCTAAATATCTGGGCATGGAATTTGGTCAGTGAAGTTTGTGTTAAAAGTAATTCAATTTTAACTTTACACTTAGTTTAGAATCATAATTATTGATATAGAAAAAAAAGCTTTCTTTACTTTCGACAAGAATTGCGATCTAAGTAAATCAACATGAAACTAGCTAATTAGAACCGGATGCTGTCGCACAATTATAACTCAGACATCTGTACAGCGCTGTTATTTTTATGGACTACTTGCTCCAAGTCGCGTGATGCATCGTGAGTCTGGCCTGTAGAAAATCGCCTGCATAATTCATCGGAATGATCTGATTAGATTGTACTAGATAACTGCCTTAATTGAATAATTGTCGATTATTATTTTTTAATATCATTGACATCGACTAACACTGTTATTGTTTTAGACTTGTTCGGCTTGGAGTTGCTTTTATATATTTATTCTTATATGCTTGGAAAAACAAGAATCATATTTCAAATAGTCGTTAATATTTTGGTAGCCTGAGGAATAGTCTAGTTGTTTAATTACTATCTTAATTATGGAATGGACAATAGTTTACCAGACATTTTTGAATACTACTGTCACCACTGACGAGTATATGATCTGTTGTGCTTGCCAATTCAGCATCATCACATATATCATACATAAATAGATAGTGGCAAAACAGCAAGCACGAAACAGTTAGCTTGTAATAAAAAAATGATTGAATCAAATGAAAATTCGTAAAGATGAAAATCGGAAAGTCGTATTTTTCCAACTGAACTTGTTAATTACTCTTTAGTTACGCATTCATTCCATAGCTTTTAACAAATTGTACAATATCTATTTTCACACAAAAATAATGTTTGATGCTAGTATACAAAATACTGTTCGATCATAAAGTTCCATTTTTATATGCGCTGTTAAATGAGCGTGGCTTGACCACTATTGAGCCAAAAGTAATGTGCCATGAATTACTAATGACCTCGTTCTGTGATCGGAGAGCGTAAATGCTCTCGTGTCTGTTGCCTCTTGAATCACCGCATTATTAGTCACTTGCTATACTACATACATTAACTGTAATTGATTGTAAAATTGTAGCCTGAGAGCTGGTAATCCAAGTTAGTTAGCAAATTGATTCCGCAGGGTTTGCTTGTCACTCTGTTTATTAGCAAGCATCCATTTAACGTGTTATTATTTCATGATTTTAAAAATTAGTTAAGTTAATTTTGAATAAGCTCAGCCTATTTTCAGCAATAATCAACGTAAATAAAAGTTTTCGTTCTATGCGCATAAAACCGCAGCATTTATAACTAACGATAATCCAGTTAAATATGCGTAAAAACTCATAAACATGAGGTGTATCACCCGTATTAACATACATTAAATAAAAGTGTCGGTAATATTTGCAATCTAAAGTTATACCTTATTAAAACATGTATCGATAAATATATTCTTACTGATGAGCTCATTTATGATATTGTTATTAATTCACTGTTCTTTACAATAATTTTTCAGTGAATGCGATGTTATTCAACTATAACTAGCGTTGCAGCGCCACCTACTAGATTGTAGAAAAATCTAAGGCGTACTAACTAGTTATAAACTAGATACGATTTATCCAATTAGATGATGATCATTCTGTGCATATTTCCACGGTATAAAGAAATAAAAAAACAATATGTAAATAAAAGTAATAACTTTTATTTACACATTATTTTTACCAAACTGATATCCTTTTGCACTGGGTAGTTTAAGAGAAAGGGTTGTACTATCTACACATGTAGTACAGTAATAAAAGAAGTATATTTGTAAAGACAATATTACCAGCACTCACCTTTACTCGACCTATTTTCAAACACCTCCAGGTCCAAGGAGTCGTATTTGTCTTCGGGATTCGAGAACCTGAACGTGAAGTCGCTCCAGTCGAAGCTGATAGCGTGGCTGGTCAGGAGTTGTGTCAGCGGGCCCTGGTTCGATCTCGCCTGCCTGTTCCTAAGCGGTTCTATTGTCAGCACGTCGAAGAGTCTGACACTCTTGTGCTGCTTTATGCTCGTGTACAGCTTGCCCGGCAGGCTGTTGATGCACGTGGCGTTGTCGTCGCATTTCAAGTCGACAAGCTCCGCCCCGGCAAGGCCCATCAGTGCGAGAGCGACGACGTACATCGAAGCAGTCATTTTGATCACTGTGCCGTCTTTATCACCAACACTATGTCACCAGGGTCGTCACCAATCCATTTGTGGGTCACGCCGGGTTCCGCACCACCCGCATCGGTGGTCTGTTCGTCAATGAGACCGCCCCTGGTCTGTTGATGATTTTTAACTGGCGTCACGCTGCACTGGTCTTCGCGGGCGATGTGCAAGATTTTTTTTCAGTTCCCCGACATGTGCACGTATTCCTATTTATTTATCAGTACACCACTTTTCTTTCCACCGATTGCGTTCACGTTTTGAAACAATCTTTAAGCCGATGACTTAGGCCGCTATATCGATTAGCGGCGAAAGACGTGTGAAGTGAAAAAAAATCGATACACGTTACGCACTATACGGTTTCGTTTAATAGGTCATGGTGAAATGATATTTTACTTTCGAAGGTACGGACAACAGAGACAACGGGAAACCAGGCGTCGATTGTTTTTTCCCTTCATGGTTTGTGTCAATGGTCCTTAATGAAGTGGGTTTGAATTCTTTGGTACGTTACACGATTCGAATAATAAATTTCAGAATGGGGATTCTCTATCACAAGATTTTTTTCTTCACCTGTATATGTGAATTATAGACACTACCTACCTGCATAGTTCACGGAAAGTGGAAATCCGTAATCATTGCCGAGTATTTTAATTCAGATTATACCAGTCGCTATGACTGAAAATATCCCTTGCCTGTACAACTCGGTAGCAAACTTTAATATAAAAAGCACTCTTTGGTATTTGTTCAAATATACACATTATTTTTAGAAGAATATATTATTGAATTGTAGCTTAAATATGTATAAATCTTTTCTTATATACACGCTCAAGTATAAAACATGCCGCTCTAAGCTTTGTTTAGAATTACAAAACAATTCGAAGAGTAATCCTTTTAGACCTAGAACTTAACATTAAAAAAGAAATAAAAATCTTACTTCGGAAATGTTTACTTATTTATAAGTAAATAACCTAAGAATGTTTGAAAATATAGTATTTTTTTACACACCACAATTTAATTGATCTAATATTTACAAGATTAAATCTATCTAAAATTACATATTATCTAATAAACCTAATCCATGCGGCATGGTGCCAAGAACGCTAGCTGCATTTCCTCGCTGAATAGTTATGCTTAACCTTTGAGCGAGTAAAGAACCAGCTCTCTTGTCACCAGCCGCGGCATTAAACCTAGGACATAAACTTTTAAAAAATTTTGATGTGCGGGGACCTTACGGACCTAAAGTTTCAACAGCAAATGTCACAAATACATAATCTAAACATAAAGACTCATAACTTACTTCAGCTGCCCTCGATGCCGTTCCGGCCCTGACCGAAGTACTCCTTAGATGAGAGGCAGCCAAAGTGTCTACACAAGTGGCGCCCGAACCAAAAAGTATGCTGGAAAGGATATAACAATAGATTCGCCAAGCATTGCTTCAAATGCTAACAAACAATGTAGATAAAAGACGTTAAGATTTTCGTCGGTGTGGCAATCATCTGTTTAGAAGACGTGGGTTCGATTCCCACAGCGACAATCTTTTCGTACTTTTTCTACATATTTTCATTGGATAAATTCCCAAACTAAATAATACTGGTCCTAGATCTCCCTGCTGAACGCTGACAGCAGGATTCTGCTGTCGGCCTTCAATATAACAATATAATCACTGTAACAATTACAAAGTATATTCTTACAAGTAAGAATTATATTGTTATAATGTTTATAAAAAGAATGGAAATCATTTTCCGGGAGATCTTTTCATTTTTAAGACGACATTTAAGTATCCAAACAAGCCTTAAATACATTGAACGTTCTATTCGACGATTCTAAAAAAATAATAATCGCTTAGTCTTACAACGTTGTCAACAATGCTGTTTATCCATTTGTTACGATTCACTTTCATTAAAAAAATGTCTAGCATTGAATATTTCTTTTTGTAGTAGCAAAGTGTTGTTTACACATTGCATATCAAATGGACAGGTAAAAAAACTCTCATCTTTAAACTTATGTGAGAAAGTAGCAAGTAAGTTGGCGGTTCACCTGATGTTAAGTGATAATCACTGCGTCTAGCGGATAAAAGAATTAAAAATACAATAAATAATGTTATCACCCATGGGAGCAACTTAGGCAAACTACGTACATTTTGGATGCAGTGCTGTTTAATCTTTGACTTTTGCATATGTTTATGGTTTTCCATATTAATTTATAATTTTTTTAAATCGCTATTGGGTTCTAATTGCATCGGATAAAACGTGTTTTTCTAACGCTACATAATAGTTATAAAGCAAACTATAAACCGATTTCAGGATTAAGCTTATCATAAACACGCGACATTGAATTGGTGTTACTCAGTAATACCAAGTATTTAAAGTAAAACTTTAAACCCAAATCTATTAGTTAAGGGGTAATATTAGATATAGGTAGTGCTAGTTTTATCTCATTACGTTTTAATGTGTGAATTATTTTATGCTGAAGCCATGGCATTTAACTGTTTTTTTTTTTTTAAACTATACTATACAGTATATATCACGTCTTATGTCAGACTAGGTAATATACGGTCCAAAGCGTTTCCTACATCTTGAGAATTCATTCAGAATTATAAGATAGAATCAAATCGATTCGCGTGCTAGCTAAAACTGTAATGGAAATAGAATTAATAAAATAAAGAAAAAATAATAATTTATATCTATAATCTTTCATACAATTTTCCCAGTAAGTTGTCATAGACACTTGTAATGTGAATATCCTTTACTTCCTTTATGGGATACATATATACATACATATTTATATTTATCTGTTTTCTGACTGAGCGGAGACCTCTGATTTTCTAAAGAGTATCAGTTGGATGATCTTAATAATAAATCTCTGCACCCTCTCCAAGTCAAGAAAATGAGTTTTATAATCACCTCCCAAAATCGTGATGTAGGTTAGGATAGATTTTACCAGGGCTAAGTAGATTTTGTTCATCACTTTAGTTGATATAAATTGCCGTAAAGACTTGAATAGCCATGTGAGTTTCCTCATTTGATTAGTTTACAAACCCAAATATGAGTTCCATCTAAATCGTTGGTCCAATATATTCAAGGTATCTCCAAGGTATTTCGTTTGGTTTATTTTATCTTTAGAGGGACAGTTGCAAATCAATATACCAGGGCTTAGACAGGTGTGACAGACTATTATCTAGCTGAGATTTATTACAAGGAGTGATACAGATCGTCTTTTGAATGTTAAGTCTTAGAAGGTTTTCTCGAAGCCAGTTCGATACCCTAGTCAAACCCGTCTCAACCTGTGCATGAATTGCATTACAAGTTTTGGCAGTAAAACGATGGCAGTGTCATCCGCGTAAGCAAATATCCTTCTTCAGACATCCTGTAGGTTACATAATTTATTTATATACATTAAAATGAGAGTCGAGGCCAGAACACTTTCCTGCGGAACACCGAACTTAACTTTTGCTTTTACACTATAAAACTTATCATTTTTTACTGTCTGGGTTCTGTTCTGGAGATAACTTTTAAATAGGAGAGTGTAATCAACATTGACACCTATGACCTCTAATCTTTGTAAATAAAAAATAAATATTTTCTTACACACATACACACAAAACTCATACAAACACATACACACACACGAACGAGTGAACGCGCATACGCATGAATACACGCACGCATGCACAACCACACACGAGCGCCCTGTTATTTTTTTGCCTTGAATAGCCACTATTGGCCTTAGGGGCCTTTACAGTTTCGCTGGACTTGAGGTGGCTGGGCGCGCGGGGCGCCTAGCCTGAACCTCGGCGTATTATTATTACGCGTTATGGTGACTAAGCTCGAGGGCTCCTGAGGGAGCCTCAGCTCGGGCCGTCACGCTATTATTATCATTACCGTTATTTCTGGATGTATCATTACTACCACTTCGGAAAGCGTTGGCGCTGGGAGAAGAAGTGGCGGAAGAAACTCCAGCAACGCTTCTGTCATTAACTGGGGAGAACCTGCCTGCAATGTTTGCCGCATTCGCCGGTGAGTGCGGTGTGATCTGGTGTGTTTGCGTAATTGTTTTATCTTATCGATGGCGATAGTCGTCTCATCGTCAGAGAAATCGAGTACGTGTCGTTGTCTGCGCAATTTGCGACGGAACGAACCTGGTAGGGGTTTGTAGGTGACGGCATCTAACAAATAACGGATTGGGATGCGCTGTGACGGATTCGAAGTATCGGCGCGACGCTGACTTCAGGAATTGAGCGATGGTTGGCAGCTCTAAATCTACATGTAAGTCGATGTTCTGCTTGAACCACTTTCCTCCCGTAGCTCTGCGCAAAAATCGATTCTGGATGACCTGAAGCCGGTGTATTTGCCTCGGGGAAATGTGCACAAAGACGTGCACATTTCCCCGAGGCTGCTGTGTAGCGGAATTTAAGTTGGGAGTCGAGGACAACACCTAAGTATTTGACTTTATTTACCCATGGAACCGAACTATCCATGAGTTTAACAGGTGGAGGATTAGGTGCATTTTTGTGAGACAAGTAGACGGCCGCGCTTTTGGCGGGATTGATCTCGTTCCTCCAAAACCGGAACCAATCACCGATGGTAATGGCCGCGGCTTGAAGGCTTCGATGGATCATTTTTGGCGTTCGGCCTGACGTATATAGTCAGGTGTCGTCATCAAAGAGGGCAAGTTCTACACCTTTGACACGCGGCATGTCGTTAATGTAGAGCGTGAATAGGACTGGGCCCAACACCGACCCTTGGGGCGCCCCGGCTCCAACGAGATGGCACACCCACAACACGATAGCGGAAAGTATTATGCATACGAGACGATCTGACGATCTGGCCGCACATACGCACGTATTTATGCAAGTGCGCGGACTCACACAAACGTGCGCACAAGTAAGACACACACACACACACACGTCTGCTTGTACACACACACACACACACACACACACACACACACACACACACACACAAGCACATACGCGCACGCAAGCATAC